CATATTCAGTTTATTCACTCATGTTATTCAAGTAGTCCTCTCCAAGCTGGGCCAGTTTTTTTAGTTTTGGCAGCTGGATTCAAGATCATATACCTGTATTTGTGTATCCGTCAATGCAGTTATCATTGAAGTCAGCTACATGTTGTCAGGTTACTTTCAGACTAATCTAGGTTGCTAACTATTGAGGGGTTAAAAGGACAATGAGCAGGTGAGATTGACTTTTTCTCTCCTCTGTCTCTGTCTTCACAGATGTGACCAGTGTGGCCGTTCTTACCGGCATACCAGCTCACTCCTTAATCACAAAAACACCCACACTGTTGGCATCTACCATTGCGCTGTGTGCCTCAAGACCTATTCCAACCTGCTTGCACTCAAGAACCATCGTCGCATCCATTCTGAAACTCGACGGCACCGCTGTCCAGAATGTGGCAAGGCTTTCCGCGTCTCCTCCCAATTACAAAATCACTGCCGTGTGCACCAAAAAGAGCGGGAGTTTGCCTGCACTCTGTGCCAGCGGAGCTTCCCTAACCAGGCTAGCTTCCGGCTCCACTTGGAAATGCAACATGGCCGTGCCCCAAAAACATCGCAACAGCCTGAGGTTTCGTCCAGTGGCTCTGATGTAGGTTGGGGCTCTGGGCTTGACCTTACGCTGATGCAGGCCCAGGGACTGGATCCTAAGGGGCTCCCAAAGCTTAACCCATCACACCACGGCCCCAGTGGCAGCAGCTCATCTGGGAATCAACAACAGCAGCAACAGCAGAGTCGCAATGAGGTGGGGTGTAAGTCGCATGTTTGTGATCAGTGCGGCCGTGGTTACCGTCACGCCAGCTCACTTCTGAATCACAAGAACAGCCACAAGATGGGCACTTATTTCTGCAACTCCTGTCAGAAGGAATTCTCCAACCTGATGGCACTCAAAAACCACAGACGCATCCACACAGAACCCAAACATTACCAGTGCCCGGACTGCTGCAAGGCTTTCCGTGTCTCCACCCAGCTCATCTGCCACCGCCGCATCCACACCAAGGAGAAGCCTTTCTCGTGTCAGCAGTGTGATAAGTGCTTCTCCAGCAAATCCAACTTAAGACACCATCAGAAGGTCCACTGGAACAGCTCGGCACCTTCTTCTAGTCTGAACATGGGCACCAACTTCTTGGGTATGTCGTCTGGGCCCTTTTTATAGTGATGGGAACTGGGGAAGCAGAACATGCGGTATTTTTTTTCCCCGGAGATTCATGCCAAGGCTTTTGGAGGTGCCAAAACCCCCATTCCTTTATTCTCACTCCTCTCTAGTGCTTGAGGTGTGGCTGTGAGGCTTTTGTTGAACGGGTTGTTGTTTAGGTTAAGAGAACTGTCCCTGCATGTACCCTGAAACATTGGATTAAACAATGGACTTGTTACATCACGTAATGCCTGTTAGTTTTAGGTCATAGTGATATTTTCCCCACCCTTTCTCTCATCCTAAACACCACAGGTGACCTTACTTGCATTTTCATAGTTCCCTTTGGGGGTGGGGACATTGAAGGCCACTGCCTTCATTTCTGATACCAGCCTTTTGAAGAAATGCAAACAAGCTGGTGTCTTGTTTTAATTCTTGAAAACGAATTGCTTTCGGATGAGACATTTCCATATATATTGTGTATTAAACGGCACATTTCCCACCTTGGTACTGTTAGATCAGTATTGTTTTTGTGATGTCACAATGGGCAGGTTACATTATAGTGACTTTAGGTTCAAAATGGACACGTATCCCCAGGTTCAGGGTAACCGCTACAAGAAAAAAGCATTTGAAAATCATACATTTCATCCCATGCCCAGCTACCCCTTTGATTGAGAGTCTTGAATGCATTCTCAATTTTTAATCCTAGACAATACAACGAAAACACGTTGACTGTCCGATGAATTCCTACAAGTGTCAAGCAACTTGTATGTTTAACAAGTAGAAGTAACTATGTTTAACAGTGTATAGAGTGTATTTGAAACGTCTTCAGTTATTGGAGGCAACACATTTATGTGTTGTGTAGGACTGTCAAAGTTTTTTTTTGTATTCCTCCCCCTTTCTGTTGATGTTCTAACTTTTCTAACTTGTGTGGTCCTTGCAGCACGAAGATGAGCTTCAAAACTTATTATTCAGCAGATGACAGCATTGCGCTTATTGGGTTAATTTCTTAGTGGCATCATTCATTCGTACCCCCTTTCATTTTATGATGTTGCTCAGAACCCATATTTTAAAACTGCAATTAACTTGCTAGTGTATAGAAATGATAGGTTGTGCTATGAAAAAAAAAATGGGAGAAAAGCGAAAGGGGGAAAAATGTATATTGATAGGCTTGTAATGGCATTTGGTTTTACCTTGTATTGTATTGTATCTCTGACTGTATTATTTACAGGAAAACTTTTATAAAAGATCACCGTAGTATGCATTTTATTTATATTAACACTTGTAACTGAAAACGCTAGTTTTAGAGCTCCCAGTTTTAGGATTTCTTGTTTCAACCCCTCCATTCTCCAGAGGCTATCGGACACGGAGTCAGGAATGACAGGACTCCTAAAGAACACTTGCTATAGTGACTGTAATCTCCTCTTTCGTTGCCATTATTTGTTATGCTTTTAAACGAACATTTCTGTCCCTTGTGCAATAAACAGGGAACTGTAATAATGTGTGTTTTGATTGCAGTACAATGAGTGTAAACATATCACTGTTATTATCTCACGTGTCTCCCCCCACGCTCATGTCAAGATTGGATGTGCCTATTTCACTCTTTAAGTTAACACGTTAAGGAATGATTTTGTGATCATTACAATCAGCAAGGCAATCTTATTTTAACACCTCAGTTATACCATGTTAACCCATGTATTTATTTATTATTAAAATGAAAAGGCAATACATTTAATCTTGTTAGCACTTATGTGTAACATTCAAATGGTGACTGACAAGTAATGCAATGCAAGTGCAATTTTTGCAGGGTATTACAGCGCATATATATATACACACACATATATATGTATGTGTGTGTGTGTGACTATACTTTTTTTAAACTACATTTTGATAATTCATTTCCTAACAGAACATGTTTGAATTATAACCTCAATGCTCTCAAATAATAAAAATAAATAGCTGGAAAATTAATGTAACATTTACTTCACATTTATGTGTGAAAGTTTGCCACTCATGGTTGGTGTTCTGAAAGAGTCACCATCCACCATCTGGATCCAATATCACGGTGTCCTTGTTAAAGTCTGTTTATTATGAATGTTTCCATTCATGGATTTTAGGATGTTTAATGCACCTGAAAGCTGGGCTATGGTCAGTAAGATCTTAAAGGGGTCATATGATGTTGCTAAAAAGAACATTATTTTGTGTGTTTGGTGTAATGAAATGTGTTTATGCGGTTTAAGGTTAAAAAAACATTATTTTTCACATACTGTACATTATTGTTTCTCCTCTATGCCCCTTTCTGAAACGCTCGAATTTTACGAAGCTCATCGGTCTGAAAAGCAAGGTGTGCTCTGATTGGCCAGCGATCTAGTGCGTTGTGATTGGCCGAATACCTCAAGCATGTGACGGAAATGTTACGCCCCTTACCATATTGTGATG